CACCTTCATAACATGGTTCTGTGCGAGTAATGAATGCTAATACGCAAAACACACCTACCATGCGTTACAGTGCATCAGGTGGGTTGCGTTTCACCCCAAACGTACCTCCTGACTGCAATGCGTTTGACCGCACCGCAACACGTGATACTGCGAGTTGCGATGTGGTGGAAGAAAGTAGTGCAATGCGTAAAGGGCCCATTCACACCCGATGCATTTGGGCTTCTCTGAGTGTTTTTTCCAGCGTGGCCCAAATGCAGTGACATCACTGGTTTCCAAGAGCTGGGCGGGATACCAGTCACAGTGACATTTAATTAAGCTCTATGGGCACACCACATGCGTGTGTATGGGCGCAGGGTGGGGATAAAAAGACAAAAAAAAGTCATTGTACAACCGCATCACAAAACGGTGAGCCCATAGAACTTAATTAAATGTCCCTTGTGACATTTGAATAAAGTTCTAAAAAAAAACACCTGGTGCAATCAAGACGCACTGCACTGTATTTTTGGTTAGAACTTTATTGAAATGTCACAATTGACATTTAATTATGTTCTATGGGCACACAGTGGTGCGATTCGGGCAGGGGCGTGTGTATGGGAGAGGGGTGGAGAAAGAAGAAGACGGAAAAAAAAAAAGCCCAAGTGGAGAAAAGGCAAGAGAAAAAAAAATTAAAGACGAACCAGGGCCCCCCTGCTGACCCGATAGGTGCCAGCATCACCAGGTCGGGTGTCACCCGATGCGCACATCATTACGTATACACATGACATCATTACGCACGTGTGTAAGGACGTCATGTGCACTTCACTGCTGGTGGCCATCTTGGTAATAGGCGTCGGCGAAGAGAGGCGGGGAGGTCCCCTCTCTCTTGCAGTTGTCTGGCTCTTGGTCCATGACTGAATGCCGGACTTTTCAAAGCGGTTGACCCTAAAATGACTGTCAGTCATTTTGGTGTCTCCCAGTGCAGGCCACACCCCCTTGTGACGCCACTGCCGATGGGGCCGATACAGAGGGCTGGCTGTGCGCCCCCTCGATTGGCGGCTCTGGTGCCACTAATGTTCGCCATCATGCTTTATGTGGTTTTTCCCATTTGTCATCATCCTCATGTTGCATGAGTACCATAGGTGTGATACTAATAACGGCGCCCATGAGGATCACCTTCATCAACATTGGAAGGATCTGCGGATGGCGTTGGGTTGTTGCAACCGGGGTCAGGGGAATGTGACCACATTTCATGTTGGGTGTATCATAAAATGTGGTCAGACACGTGGAGTATGCTTTTAAATTGCTGTCATCCCATGTACACCATGTGCATGTGATCCTCAGTGTCATGTAACTGCAGTGTGTAATGTGTCACATGGAACTATTCTAGAAAGCATTGGAAACCAAATTCACTGAGTGCTGCAGTCCAGGAACCTCCAAGGTGTGTACGTCCCCCGAGGCGGTTCATTTATTTTTGAACACATTCTGATCATAACACACAATACAATAGAGTTCCTGACATGCCCCTATTTTACGGCATTTCCTGTATTTTATGCAGAGAAGAGGTATTCTGAGAGTCTAGGATTGCAGCGTGATCAGAAACTGGGTAAGATATGAGTATTTTTGGAGTATGGGGACACAGGAACACCCGGGAGATACTTAGTAATATGTAGAAGTCTCCGGAGGGAATTGAGCTGGATCCCAGATCTATAGAGGGACCACTGGGCTGCTGTGTAACCTGCTTTTCTGTCTCAGTTGTCGGTATACTGGAGGTGTTCCCCGTTGTGTATTCAGGGATAGATTTGCCTCTAAGCCACATGAACTGTGGCCTAGGGCAGGGCTTCTTAAAGTGTGGGTCTCGCAACTGAATGTGGGGGGTCGCGACAAAAAATCTGAATCCCCGGCAGGGATTGGCAAGGTGTTCGTACTTGGACACCGGTGTCCCTGAGTGCCAATTGCGGGGTCCACCGCCGCCGCGTCGTACAGGACACGGGGCTAGGGTTGTAAGTTGGTATGGCCCCGGGCGCCCCTGTACAAATGGTAGTTTTGGTACCTTCCTGTGTACTTGCATGGGGGCGGAGCTTGCCTCTGTACGTGCAGAGCAGGTGCGGAGGCTGCTGAAGTGGCAAGCAGACGTCTGCTCTGGGCCTGGGTTAGCAGGGGAACATGCAAGGGAAGGCAATATATGCGCACACTGCACTTCAGCTTTAACACGTGAGTATCATTAGCTGGGCACATCCATTGCTGCTGATAATACCTACCCTGTTTCCCTGAAAATAAGACCTACCCCGAAATTAAGACCTAGTACCATTTTTGGGAATTGCTAAAATATAAGACCTACCAAGAAAATAAGACCTAGTTGTGACCATTCCCAGGGCCTGTGGTGGCATAAGGGGGAACTTGAAGAGCCGCGGGAGAGAATCAGCGGTGCCAACAAAGCCAGCGCTAGAAGAAGCGAGGCGGGAGCGGAGGGAGCAGAGCCACATAAGCCGATGTTTCCTCTATAGTCCTGGCTCCTGTCGCAGGCGGTGTGATACCAAATGCACTCTGCCTGTGAGGAATCCATAGTGAAAGCGCGCTTCGCTCATTCTGGTTACCAAAATGCTCTTGGAAAGGTACGGCACCCCTGATTGCTCTGATCACCCTATTCTTAACTTTGCCATTTTGGATTATTTAATTTGGATTTGCATTAACTTTGGATTGTTGTACATTAAAACAAAAAAAATAAGACCTACCCCGAAAATAAGACCTAGTGTGTTTTTTTGAGCCCAAAAAAATATAAGACAGTGTCTTATTTTCATACATAGACAATGCTGGCAAGTTGTGTCTGCTCACCCCGGCGTGTAATGAGATAATTGTTGTACTGGGACCCCAGGGACATTCTGGGACTTTCTTGCTGGGTAGGGGTCAGACAGCGGCTGCCAGTCACAGTCAGTGTCTTAAAGCTGAATTACATGATAAGCCTATTGTCCTCATACAAGAGCCATGTGTGAGCTTTGTGTATTTCTTCCAGATCTGTGCAGTAATTCAGTGTGACACTTGGAGCTTCCTGTAATAAAGACCGCTCACTGCTGCTCTCTTTCCTTGCACAGGGTGATTGGTCTTGTCTCTGCCCCCTCCTGTAATAGAGACCGGTCACTGCTGCTCTCTCTCCATGCACAGGGTGATCGGTCTTGTCTTCGCCCCCTCCTGCAATAAAGACCGGTCACTGCTGCTCTTTCTACTTGTGCAGGGTGACTAGTCTTGTCTCCGCCCCCTCCTGTAATAAAGACCGGACACTGCTGCTCTTTCTACTTGTGCAGGGTGACTAGTCTTGTCTCCTCCCCCTCCTGTAATAAAGACCGGTCACTGCTGCTCTCTCTCCTTGTGCAGGGTGGCTGGTCTTGTCTCAGCCCCCTCCTGTAGTTTCCTGTTGGCAGCCTGTAGTGGGAGGAGCTACTTGGCCCCTCCCACAGCTCTGCTCAAGCTATGTACAGCACAAGGATGATGTCACCACTACTTTTACAATATAATAATTAGCTTTGCAAAAGCATTTGGTGCACACAAAGCAGATTTATATCCTCTGTGGCCGTTAAGGAATATATTTCAATGAACGTTTGAGTAGGGATGAGCCGAACAGCCCCGTGTTCGGTTCGTATTCGAACATTAGAACCGCTGAAATGTTCGAGTACGAACTCAAACTCAATACAAGTGCATGGGGGTCGAATGTTCGACCCCCATACAGCTGCCGGTACATGTGGCTGCAGGGGCCTGTGTCCCTTCAAATCCCCGCTGTTCTCCCCGCCTGTGTTGGCGGAGGCAGCGGGGACACAGACCGCTGCATTGCTCCTCTGCCCCCGTACCTCTGCTGCTGTCTTCCCTGGTCCGTCGGCTTCTCCGTTCCCCCATCCGGCCGCGGCACCTCTTCCCCGCCCCCTGCCTCCTCTTCATTGCAGGCTGGGAGCCATACCCAGCCTGCTTTTGGATATTGTAAAATGCAATAGCCAATAGCAAGCTGGTTATTGCACCCGCCCACTGCCTGCTGTCAATCAGCATGGGGGGACCTGAGAGAGAACTTTCTCCTTCAGGCCCCTCCTCTGCTGAGCCCTGATTGGGCAAAGTCTTGTACCTGACCTGTGGTCAGAGCTTCAGTGGGCATTTTGTATTATGGAATGTCCGCGGGCGAACAAACCGCGAACATCCCATAAAGTTCGGCGTGCGTTCGAACTGCCGATGTTCGAATCGAACACTCGGCCCATCCCTACGTTTGAGTTCAGTTTGAACTATAAGATATTCACGTCTTATCAGCAACAGACATGCCATAATAATGTCCCACCTTTTACCGATCATACATCTCTACGCATAGAGCCAACGTTTTGCACTTGCATGCTATAGATTGGCTTGTAAGATTAGCATACATGTTCGGGGCCTGCCTAACCTATGCAATCCAGCTGAAATCACACAGGCCCTTGTGCTATAAAGTTGATGGTTATATCTAAGGGAGATTTTACAGTCAGATTGTAAAGTGTGCGATGAGCTGATGACATTGGTGATAGCAATGAATGTAATCTGATGCAAAACTCATGGGTGACAGGTTCTCTTGCTTTGTTCAGCATGCAGGTAATAGTCATACAGATGACTGCAGCTGGGGTGTGGTTGGTAATAGTAAAGCTACCAGGAAGAGCAGTTGAGCTATCTACTTTCTGCATTATCACTGCTGCAGCACACACCCAGCTCCTGCAGGGTATCCCCACTTAGCTATTTATCTATACTTTACATGCAGTACTACCATACTTATCTTTGTGTCTGCTGCTAAGCAGCCATATTGTTGAAGCCTTACGACTTACCCTTAATGAATATTAACTTCCAGGAAAATGGCCGCCTGCTGAAGAACTTGGCGACGCGTTTCCCGAAAACATTGTCCTCTAGTGGTCGCGCTGTTTTACTTAAAGGGGCGTCGCTACGTGCTTTGGGCGGAGACAGGATTGTCAGTTTCTCAGTTTGATTGGGGGAGCGGTGACTTGGAGGGAGTGGCTGAGGGCGGAACTGGAGGCGTGGTCGTCGCTGACAGCCAGGCTCTACCCGTGTGAGTCAGTCGTCCCGCAGCCGCCGCCCTGTCCGGAGAGAAGTAAGAGGGATAAGAGCGGATTCCCGGAACAGGAGAGCAGATCCCCGGGGTGAGTGCAGTGCGGCCTGGTCCCCGTGTATTATTGGACGATCTGTTTCTTTTCACACACATGCACAGAGCAATCTCTGCCAGCTTCTGATACCAGAGTGATCAAAGCAAGCGACTTGCAGCCATTTAGATCTCAGAGGGGGGTTGTTGGTGGGCTGTTATGGTCCATTGGATTACATTGAGGTTGAAACGACCTAAATTGCCCTGTGTATGGCCAGTGTCAGTCCTGACATTGTGATGGATGGCTGTGAGTTTGATGCTGGACATACATTGCAGGGAATCTGTAATGATTACAAATTGGAGGTCAAAATGTACACAAGGTGACAAAAGACCAATTCGTGAACGCTCCTAGTAATGTGTGATGTATCAACCAATCTGGTTGCAAGAAGATATTGCATTGTGTGGGATTGATGGTGCCATCTAATGCCCATCCTGCATCCATCACCACTGTGCTGTATATAGCTGTGGGAGGGGCCCAGCAGGCTCCACCCACTACAGGATGCCTGCAAAAAAACTACAGGAGCCTATGCAGAGAGCAGGGCTGTGGGAGGGGCCCCGCAGGCTCCACCCACTACAGGATGCCTGCAAAAAAACTACAGGAGCCTATGCAGAGAGCAGGGCTGTGGGAGGGGCCCAGCAGGCTCCACCCACTACAGGCAGTCTGCAGAAATTCTACGTTGGGAGGAGACGAGACCTGTCACACTGCACTGAAGCCAATACAATTTAATGAAATGACGTTTGTGACGTTTCAATAAAGTTCCATAAAAAAAAGTTCAGTCAGGGCTCATTGACAGTAGGTGTGAATGGTACACGTACTTTCCATCACCCCCTATTTGTGTATAAACGTTTTCCAGACAATCCCGTCTTCTGTTTTTTAAAGGACCAAAAATATTTACCAATATCCGGTTTATGATTTGGTATCTTATTCACTCAAATTCCAAGCTCTTGGCACCCATTCACATCTGACCGTTGCAACAGTGCGACTTTGCTCACGTTGCCCAGTCGCATGAAAAATGCGCATCTCCAGTGCAGTTGCGTTTCGATATCATTCCGTCTCATAGCACCCTAAGTTTGAATTGCTCGCGCACCTGAGTGGAATTGAGGAGTGCAGTCCATTTTGGTGCGATAGGGTTTTGAAATGAAGTGCGTGTACTTCTTTGTCGTGCGTACAGAAGCCCATGCGTATGGGCGGCACAAAAAACACATCTTCACCCGTACAGTGCCTTAGTGTTTAGCGCTTCTGCCTTGCAGCCCCAGGTTCAAATCCCGGTCAGGACACCATCAGCAAGGAGTTTGCATGTTCTCCCTGTGCATGTATGGGTACTCCGGTTTCCTCCCACACGCCAAAAACATGCTGGTGGGTTAATTGGCTCCAGTCTAAACTGACCCCAGTGTGTGTATGCTAGCGCTTGCCATGGTTCCTGGGGTGGTAGAGGTTGTTGTGGGCCCTTTCCGAGCAGATGAATGTCTCTGCGTCCTGCATGGACACTCCTGAATCCTCCCATTTTTTTTTTTTTTTCTTTTCGTTCACAGGCCTGAGGTTGCTAGGAGGACCGATTTTGTTAGGTGCAAAAATGTGCTAAACTGCTTGCTTTGTGCTTTTTCTATGTTGCAAAAAAAAAGTGTGATTATTGGGCGAAAAAAATGTCATGTACTTTTTTGCGTAACAAAGAGCAGCACCAAATATAATGGGAATCTTCACGTTGACCGTTGTCGTGCTTCAGGAAACACGTGACAGACCTGTGGGGTGTGAATGTCTTATACCAGACTGGGGTCACTCGAGGTCTCCATGCATGCAATGTTTGTAGGTTCTGTTGGGGCTCAATTGCACCAGCCCCCACGCTAAGGCCCCTTTCACACCAGCGTTTCAGCGCTGATTGGCGCGTTTCCATTGAGGCCAGGTTCACACCTGGGCAATCTGTGACCGCGTGGCAATTGTGCACAATGCCCCGCAGATTGCCATGTGGTCACGGAGTCGCCCATCACTGACGATCTCACTGGAGGTGCCATTATTTTCGAATGCAACCCCAGTCGGGCCTGGCTGATCGCGTGGTTTCCTGACGCGATTCCACCCGTGCAACAGAGCAGCCGCACGTCGTGTGTTTCACGAAAAAGGTACACGTACCTTTTTTTTGTTCTGAGATTTCCGCGCGGCTGGAACCCCATTGAAATCAATGGGTGCCGCGCAGCAATCGCTGTTTGCAATTATGCACGATCGTGCGTCCCGATCTGCACTGTTCAAGTCCTGCTGTGCTGACCACTCACCTCTTGCCCCCTCCTCGCTAGCTGTAGCATGTCCCTCAGCATCCTCACGTCTAATGTAAGTCAACAGACCTTGCATAGACGCGACGACCACCGAAGCCCCAGGGAGAAGAGGCCTGGGGGGACCGGTCTAGCAGCCAGGCAGGACAGGGTGAGTATTTTCTTTATTTGTACCCCTAGGCCAAAGCGAGCCATTAACCCTTGCAGTGTGGGGGTAGCCCCACTGCATGGGTTAACCTTTGATAATCCCGGAGTTCCTCTTTAAGCCTCCCTGTTGGCTAGTGAGACCACCGGGCAGTGCGATTGGCCAGTAGGGAAGCTCAGGAGGTGGAAGGAGCAGGGTCAGGATCTTGACCCGAAAAGCTGCTTAACAGGGCTATGCGGCATTTCAGGAAGCTGTCTGGGGTCTCACCAGGGCATCATCAAATTCACTGAAAGCATCTATGACATAACCCTCCGATGGGGGCAAATCTGTCACTGACTACGACGGATGGTGAGAGTTTTTGTGTCTTGTGAAGATCCGCCATAATATGTCTACCCAGCTTTGTGGATGTGGTATTCCATGGTCTGTTCTCCAGGCTGAGGAAAGGATTGCTGGGAAGCACTCATTATTGTGCTCATGCCACCTACATGGTGCAATTCCTGCATCTGATGCGGCTATTGGTCCAAACGCTAAACAACCTGTGTATGGGCAATTTTTGTAACCGTGCACTGAATTAGAGATCCAGTACATGGGTCTCCCGTGCTCACTGGACTTTTGTGCCTTGTTTTACTCGGTAATTAGAATGTGGTTTTGCGGGTGTAGACTGACCGGTTCGGGCGATCGGTGTGTGGGAGTTGTTGCCCTCCAGGGCAGAGGGGCAGGTTAGTGACTGTAGGGAATATGATGTGTGTAGAAGGGAGTGCTCACACCTCTACATTCCTCAATGACTCATGGAACAGGTATGTCCGTATTGCACATATTTCTGGATAGCTGTGATTTTCTGTAGCCGTCTCTGTAAGGCCGTCCACCAAAATGGCCGCATCATATGTTCTAAATCTGTCATTATAAAAGGAGATGCGTTTTCTGTTTGCGGCCCCATTCACACCTGGCATTTTGTAGCTCCCATGCCTTAGGGCCCCCTTTCACACAGTGTGCCAGTTAGATCCGCCTGTCAATTTTTCAGATGGATCTGATCGGAAGGACAATGTTAGATCTGTGGGGCGGCAGATGTGAACGGGCATGTATCCATTTCAGGGTGGATTTGATTTAAATTACTAGTAAAAAGGCTTGATTTGAAATAAACTCGATTTAAATCATAACTTTTTTAAGGCGCAACTGTCATCTCTGTCCCGCAGCAGCTCCTCCTCTGACCCGCTGTTGACTCACGGACAGTCCCATTCACTTTAATGGGACGGCAGGTGATGCGGCAGTGACACAACAAGGTGAGGGCCGTGGCGAGCAGCAGGTGAGTGGATGCCTGCTAAGTGCTCCTTTAAATGTAAGGACTCATTCTTGCTGGTAATAATAATCTATAAAGGAGAACTATGGGGTCAGTGTTTTTCCCCATAGTTCTCCTAAGGGTAACGGGAGGACACAAACTAGCGTCCTCCCGTCACCCAAAGCTCAGTATATGACGAGATACTGAGACGCCGGAACGGATCCCGACAATTGGGTCTGGATGCACCCAGCTGCGTGAGTGACAGCTGGCTCTGCCTATCTAGAGGCAGAGCCAGCTGTTCCCGCCCCCTCCGCCAGTCGACGCTGGAGGATCGGACAGGGGAGGTGGGGGAATCCCTGCAGGGAGCCGTGAGTGACAGTCACGGCTCTCTGCACGCATAGATTGAGAAGTGAGCGAGTGACGGTATGTGTTCGCTCACTTCCCGATCTACTGAGCCGACCTGTGACAGTCTGAGATTATGAGCCCGAGTGAAAATCACTCGCCTCCTAGTTCTCCTTTTTTAATATTATTATTAATATTATTTGCAAACAAAATGAAGGTTTCCTATTTTAGAATAATAAGCTGTCAGGTTAGTAAAACAGTGATATCGGAACCGATTTGAGGTTAATAGGTTAATCACACATAGTTGAACTACTTCCAATTCTTTTATTTAATTAAAACAATAACATGATGATAAATATTCTTGTATTTGCTCAAACGTCAATGTATAGTAATGCATCAATGCACAGTGCATGTTATCTCAGCTTGCAGCGCTTGGATTCATTGAATGAGTTTACCAAAAATATAAATATTGCAGAATATACAGCCTCATGCTACTAAGCTCCATTTCATGCTGAATAAACTAAATTATTAATGTATCTTCAATAGAAAACCTGCTGACCAACCATTCAGGATCATTTGTACAGGTTAGATGTGTTAAAAGACAAGTGTGGATTGCTGTGGCTCCTAGCCAAGACATTGGGCTTGGTATTGTCTGCCTACTCTGCTGTTCTCCTCCTCTCTTTATTCGGTGGGACCTAAAGGTTCAGCCAAATGTCTGAGTTGGATGTCCCATTGTGGTGGCATCCAGAGGAGCAGAATAGTGTATGATGTGGTTGTCCTTTCTCTGCTCCCATCCAGCGTGAGCTGTCCATATATCTTCTCTTTCCTATCCTTCTCTTCGCTTTTTCCTATCCTCTTCTCTTCTCTTCTCTTCTTTCCTATCATTCTCTTCTCTTTCCTATACTTCTCTTCTCTTTTCTCTTTCCTATCCTTTTTGGGTAAAAAAGTTTTTGATCTGGATATTAGGTGCCACACCCCTGGTAAGTAGTATGCAAAATAAATTATTTTAAAGAAGGAAAAAGAAAAAGTGGGGTCATTTGGCATTTGAACCCCAATCATGTATGTCCATAAGAACATAGGATGAATCATGTATGTTTCTGTTAATGGTGAGGTATTGTGTATGTGGAAAGAGCTTTTCTAGGGACTATCTATTCAATTTTATCATTGGCTTTAAGCCCTCTCTGTTCCTTTTAAGATTTATATGAAATAAACAAATATATATTTTTACATTTTGTGGTTGGAGTTGTCATTCTCTGGTGCTTTCAAAACCCCACTTTTTATTTCCTATCCTCTTCTCTTCTCTTTCCTCTCCCTCTTCTCTTTCCTCTCCCTCTTCTTCTCTTCTCCTCTTTCCTCTCCCTCTTCTTCTTCTCTTCTCCTCTTTCCTCTCCCTCTTCTTCTTCTCTTCTCCTCTTTCCTCTCCCTCTTCTTCTTCTCTTCTCCTCTTTCCTCTCCCTCTTCTTCTTCTCTTCTCCTCTTTCCTCTCCCTCTTCTTCTTCTCTTCTCCTCTTTCCTCTCCTTCTCGTCACACGCTTTTTTTCTTTCATTTTTTTTATTTATTTTTATCTATAAATACACTTTACTTGCAGCATCTCCTAGTCAGTGTTTCCCTGGGCAGGGCTGATGTGTACCCTATGACCCTTCACTAGTTAGTGGTACAGCCGGTTCCTCCGGTAGTAATCCTTTATTGACTGTAATATGATGCTGCAAAGCCAGGTGTGCACAGCCAGGAGCAGGCGGAGGCCAGTTCTGGACTTGAACTTTGCTCCATTGTACAATGCTCATGATACAGCATCTCTAGATGAATTGTTTTGCATCCAGAATGCTGAATTGCACGTTGACATTTATTTGAATATAATTTCTTCTTTTTATTTTGGCTTTTTGTACGGCGCTGTGTAAGAGGCCTGTGAAGCTGACTTACAGGTTGGAGTATATAAAAGAGCAGTTGTTAATGATTGCAGGCTTTTGAAGTGTCTACAAAAAGGAATCGGAGTAGAAATACCAGGTTGCCATTGAGTTCCCATGAGTTCCCACATGTTTCCATTAATAGTCCGCTTCTACTTCGAGTGTCAGAGTCCCGGTGTAAGCTTTACCACCCTATGTGCCTCTTGCAGTTAGTAGGTTAATATATACAAGAGCCTCTGCCCGTGTACCCATGCAGGGCAAAGTGAAAGAGTCTCTTTAAAGCCCACCATGAGACATTATAATTAACTTTCCCTATGCTCCCACTGTCCATACCCTGTGTAAGCTCAGTGTAGGATGGTGTCATCACATACATGGCTTTGATGTCATTCTTACATATGACACTGTTCAGACCTGGCAACTGGATACTCGGGACATTATGGAAGGAGAACACATGCCCTCTCTTTGGAAGCATTGAGTATTTTGTGGTTGCTCCCAGTGGAGAACCTTAGTGGCAGGTGTGGAAGATGAATATAAGTGTAAGGCTTGTTCAGACCAACCCCGGCAGGCAGCATTGCCCAATGCAGTGCCAACACATAGATGAGGCAATTTCCCTTATGTGCTTCAGTTCACAGCAAATAGCATTTGCTTTTTTGCACCATGTTTTTCGGAGGGGTATAATGCATCACAACGCTCTGCCTTGCATAGAGTTATAGGGTGTAAAATGAAAGGACCCATTCACACTTGCATTTGGGTCAGCCTTAGGCCTTGTTCACACCAAATGCAGACCGGATCTATAGATATATATCTATATCCTGTTTCCCCGAAAATAAGACCTAGTACTATTTTTGGGATTTGGATTGTTGTACATTAAAAACAAAATAAGACCTACCCCGAAAATAAGACCTAGTGTGGTTTTCGTAGCCCCAAAAAATTATAAGACAGTGTCTTATTTTTGGGGAAATACTGTATGTATGTGCTAAAAATGGGCTTTCAGTACGTTTGCATGCGTTCCAGAGCAGGAAAAATAGGGCTTGCTGCAGTTTTTTTTACATGCTCTGAAACTGAACGATGCGGTGTGAACTAGAGCCCAAGATACTATTGGAATACATTGGACGCAGTTTTCATCCGGTCTGTAACTGCTCTTCTCCTGGGACGCGCTTGGTGTGAACAAGCTCTCAGACTTCCTGTCCAATAATCCTGGTAAAGTACACAGTCAACAGTCCTTGGAGACATGTCCTATAGCATGACCACATTGTAACAGTTTCTGAGTGATCTACAGCATGAGTATATTGTCAGTAGATCTGCTTTGTTATAGTGAGCTGGCGTTTAGCTGAATATAGAGCTCTGTAAGGATGGTTATACTCTGGAATATCTCTCAATGAACAGGTGCTGTTAATCCTGGGCTTGTCAGTATCATATCACAAGTCCTACTCCAGAGTGGACTTTAATACCTCCAGGCCGATAGCCCAACACAATACATCTGTTACGGATTGTCGTATGAGGAGCTTTTTTCCATCGTGGGTCCTGCTAACAGCTCTGTAATGCTCACATCCCATTCATCAAAGTGTCAATATTGCCATGTCAAACCAATCCCCATTTGTGGTCTCTGGGTGATCCAATTTGGGGGGGACCAATCCTAGGAGCGATATAGCCAAAACATACTGCTGATGTCTAATTTTTGTGTTCGGTTCAAGCACCTGCCTTCTGGCTCCCCTGGGGATGATGTAGATGGGTTATTTGCCGAGTTTGAATACAAGTCTGCAGATTCCCATGTACGTTAATGGTGTAGTGTGGATGACCATTCTAAAGCTGGCCATACACCTTACAATTATCTGCAGATTTTCTGTGGTCAGATGGAAAAGGTGCAACAGATTCCTCCATCTACACTTAACTGTGTGGATGGAGTAATCTGCACCTGGGCCAATCTGTTGCACTTTTTCCATCTGACCACAGAAAATCTGCAGATAATTGTAAGGTGTATGGCCAGCTTAAGTCTGCCTTTGACCTGCTTTACTCTGTTTTGCATTACTTTGAACGTAGCAGGTCCTGTTGAGATTCAACGAATGTCAAACTCAGCTTTTGCTGCATTTTGTAGGGTTTGTCCACAATGCTGGTCTATATGGGCCAGCCACAAGTTCACATAACTGCTGACCTTTCTGACTGCACATACTATGTACATTTCTTTTTCATGGGGAGCTAAGAAAGGCGGCCATGTGTAAGCTCCAAGTTACTACTTACACAGGGCCGAATGTTTTCTGGCCCCATGGGACTACTGGGTGCCTGAGCAGGTAATCACCAAGCACCACCCATGTCATATTGGTCAGCCTCCCCCAGGTGAGTCACTTTCTCCACATACTTGAAAGTAATAGGTATTTTTTTCTTTGCTAGAGGCAACTGAATGGAGCAGTATAGGAGCGAAGGGTAGTATGAACTAATGGAAGACGCTGTCACCTTGCCCATGTAAGGAAAAGTGACTCTGCGCTCTCTCTCCTCTTGTCCATCAGCTGTGCGAGTGACCCAGAGACGTGGATAAGTCACTCTTTTAGCCATGTGACAGCGCCCAGGCTGACATTGACATGCTCCCTCACAGCTAAAAAACATGCCCTGCACGAGCAAAGTGACAATGTCTCTTAGTAAAATTTTTGTTTTGTTTCAGTGGCGTCACTCAGGGCATGCAGCCCGCAAGTGGGTGACACCATTGGGTGGGTGACACCAAAATGACTTGACAGTTATTTGGTGTCGCCCCCCTCTAAAAAGTCGCCCACTCGGTCATGGACCGAGAGCCTGACAGTTTTGCGAGAGGAGGGGACCGGGTGTCATTCCTTAACACCCCGGGTGACTGTCCCCTCCTCTCTGCCGGCGTCCATCACCAAGATGGCGCCGGCAGGTATCAATAAAATGTCCGCACATGTGCAATGATGTCACGGCAGGGTGTCACCCGGTATGCGCTCCGGGTGACACCCAGCCTCGGGATGTTCCTGTTCCTTTGCCCTTCAAAGAAATAAGGTTTACTGTAAATTGCTTATTGACTACTAGGCTTCTGTTACTGTCTTTCTGAACTCTACATGACGTTTTCCTTCTCGATTGAAATATTCTCTTTCCAATTTCAGGTGTAACGCAATCATGTTCCTGATAAATCGATATATGGGCGGCGGTGGTGGAGGAGGAGGATTTGGCGGCAGAGGTTTCGGTGGTGGTGGCGGCGGTGGTGGAATGTTTGGAAGCATTATGAATTCAATCGGGTAAGACTTTGTTTTGTATAACGGGATCATTACATTGTTTTTGTTGATGTATTTGTAGATCATGAGGCGCCATCACTCACAGGATGAAATGTATGAGCAATGGGGTTCACTGACCTAAGAACCTTAATACATTCCTGAAAGTAGTATTAATCGCTTAAACCTTTTTTTCCATAATGAATCCAGATCAAACAAATACACATCGCCCAGCAAAGTATTTCTTTACATTTTTGTCCAAGTAATTTATAGTCAACATGTCTCTGAACAGCTTCAACCCTCTAGGCTCGGCTTCCCTGAACTTCTTGTCCAGTACAAGATCGCAAGGAAGAGAGCAGTCTCTAGCAGCTGTCCATCTACTAGCTTGGAGAAGATAAAAACAGAGAATGGCTCGGCTTGCTTTGGCTGTGTGCTTGTGGAGACACACACAGCTTGCTAGCGCACACACATGGGTGGCTTCATAGGATCCTGCAAGGCAAAGGAGCCCCCCCTAAAACAGGATCAGTGCTCAGGGGACCAGCTGATTCCTGCAGGAAGCTTAAACTTTTGAGCATCAATGAGCAGCAACCATTTTGAGTGATTTTAATCAGCATTTGAAATGGCTTAAACATTTTGACTTTTTAATATAATTTTAAGCTGATCCTTAATACATAATGCTTCCCTCTCCAAGACCCCAGAGAACCCAAACCCACAAATTTAAACATTTAGGCCCGCGACACTACTAAAGCTGGCCATACAATGCTGGCATTGGGGCTGTGGGTGGGCCCGTTGGCAGCACTCTTTTCGACAAAAGTTGAGCCAAACGATGACTGCATCCAATCAGATGCAGTCACTATTCCAGTATTCTGACAGCTGCAGGCTGTCAATACAATAGCATGCAGGGGAGATTTCTCAACCCAGGCGCTGTTTAGCATGGATGGGAGAATCTGTGCCTTGGGGATGGGGGCAATTACTACTGTATGGCCAGCTTAACCCCAAAACCTTAACATTGAACATGACCCCAACAGTTCAAAGGTAGTCTGCCTACAAGTTGGTACTTTCTAGCCCAAGGACCCAGAACAAACATACTACAGCTGACAGAGTGAAAGTAGAACTTCTAGAACAATGGTTCTCAACCTGTGTAATCTTAGGACGCACATTTTGTCCTCGGCCATTAAGTCACGCCCTAAGTCTCACTGCAATTGAACGTTCGGCAATGTGTTTTGCTGTGCTGTGGCTGAGCTCCATCCTTATGTGCATTGCTTGTACAGCTCCCATGCGAGCCTTGTAGAGGTGTCGGGAGCCAGAATGTGATGGCACTCCGTTCCAGGCACCTCTACAGGGCACGCTAGGCAGCATATTGTAAATGGCTGCTTGGTGTGAGAACTGACAGTGCTGCACTAGGGGAAGGCTGAGGAGCCTCTCCCCTAGAAAAGTGGAAGGCATGTGGTGACCCACTGAACACATGGTCACGACCCACCAGTTGAGAACTGAGGCTCTAGAATATGATGGAAGTAGAACTTCTGATGACTTGGAAAGTACTGAACCTCGGTTCAGTATAATAGCCAGGCAACGAACATTTTTCAGAAGAAGCGTTCAGCATTGGCTGCCCTCTTATATATTTCTTTGTTCCTTAACGTCACCCTAAATTTGACATGCTACGTACAGCATGATGACTCAACTAAACAGAAGCCTACAATGTGGGAGCATGGAGGCCGCCATTGCTGATCTCTTTGAAGAATATTCTTTCTCTGCCTGTCATTCCAATCCATTGACTTCACTGCTGTATCCCGTTACCGATCCAGAGCAAGTCTGTAGATAAGGAGGTCTGATTTCACTTGCTGCCTACTTTTGTTCCCCCCATGGTCACTGTGTGTGTGTGTGTGTGTGTGTTGTTAAATAGTCACCGCTCCAAGCTCACTCCTGTGATGGGCTACAATCTCAGGTTTAGTTTACTAATTTGTATTGAGATTGTAGTCCACAGGAGAGAGCTTGGAGTGTTGACTACTTTACAACACACAGGAAAGGCTTGCTACCCACTGGGAGGCCACAATAAAACGCACAACACCACTCAAAGCTCGCTCCTGTGATGGACTACAATCTCAATACAAATGAGTAAACTAAACATGAGATTGTAGCCCATCACAGGAGTGAGCTTGGAGCGGTGTCTACTTTACAACACACACAGGGACCTTGGGGAACAAATGTAGCCCCCCTCCAGAAGGAAGGACAGTGTCGGTACCAATCCAGAGAGTATTTGAGGTTCTACAGGTGAGTGATACACAAATAATATACATTAATGTTAATAGGGTACTTAAATGGAATTTTAAGATTTAACTCGAGTTTTGTGTCCCTTTTTTAATAGGCTCAGCTTCATTGCCCTGTAGCTAGTATAGAATGCATCCTTTTGAGATGGAGACTGTCTGTCTCTTTTCATTATTGTGAGACCAATAGCTCTTAAAGTGTATGTCAAGGCAAAATAACAAAACACATATACAGTACATCTCTACAGTACATGCACATTTGCCTAATTTTTTTTTTTTTATCCCTTTAAATGATTTGCAAGTACAGAAAATACCCATTGATCGGCCAGAAATGCACTCGGCTCTTAATTTCCCTTTGTAGTGGACTTGTGGAGTGTTGGCTCTGCCCAATTTTCTTTTGCTAAACTACTGTCACTCCCACCGTCTTGCTATCCACAGCATAGGGACCGATTGGTGTGTAGTCTCAAGGTGCCCATACAGTGTACGATTATTGTACGAGAATCACTAGAAATCCGTACGATAATCGTGCAGTGTTCCAAGATTGGCAGATCGTACGAGCTTTTAATAAGCTTACGAGCATCGCAATACAAAAGTCTTGCGATGGTCGTAAGTAGGGCTGTGGAAATTTAAAGATTAATTTCTCGATTAATCGTTCAACTTTTATATTAAAAAAAAATTTGATTAATCGAACACGAAAATTGTAATCATTACCAGCCCTAGTCGTAAGGTGTATGGGCACCTTAAGATACGTACAGACAGGGCTAAGCAGTCTCCTTGATATAACATAGCCAGGGAGAACAGGACAGCTCTGAATTTCTGACAAGATCAACAGGATTTTTCTGCACTTCTAAAACAGATCTAACAAAATGCTTTCAGTGGTATATTTAACAGACCAAAAGGGAGCAAATTAGAGAAGTTAATTGTCGGGGTTTATATACACGTTAATGTGGCCTAGGCTGATGCACCGGGTGTCACAAAATTATGAGCAAGTCCACTACTTTTTACATGTTGCATGAAGAGGAAGTGGCTTTACACAGGAGTTTGCTTAATGAGTAATTCAGCAGAATTTCATACACAGAAACGTGTTTACATTTCTTCTAACAATGCAGCTCTGTGACCACAGGTGCTCTGAATGATCGATTTGTCCCTGTGTGTCAGTGTAAATAGACTGTAAGCTCTTTGGTTTTTATTGCCCAGTAACAGAAGAATGTTGAAGTTAAAATGCAAAAAGTTTGCATCTGTCTTGTGGAAATTAGGGATCATGTTAAATATGTTGATAGTGTTGTGCAGCAGCTCATAGTATAGGTGACCAGTTTCTGCAGAGGTGTATGGGCCGCTGGATCTTCTTTGATGGGAAAACAAAAAAAGGTTAAGTTATTAGCAAACACCAAACATCCAGTTATATTCTGAGCATTTAGGAATGCATCCAACTTTTTGTTTTTAAACCATTGACAGATCTGTTCCTGAGGGAGTCTATTCCACGTTTTGACAGCCTTTACTGTGAAGAAGCCTTTCTGTGTGTGAAGGTTAAACCTATTTTTATGCAGTCGCAGAGTGTGCCCCCTTGTTCTTTGCAGTGACCTTAAAGTGAATAACTTTGCACTATATGGACAATTTCTGTATTAAAGTGACACTAAACTCAGGAGATAAATCGTAAAAATACTTCCAAGGTCCTTAATTACGAACAAAAAAAGTATCTTATTTGTGTATGATTTGGCTGTAGAACCTCGAATCATCCATAAAGTGAATATAGATCCTCGAATCATCTCTGACTTGGTGCTGACACTGTCCTTCCTTCTGGATGGTGTTAATAAGGTACTTCAATATATTTTTAAGGTTTAACTCCTGAGTTTATTGTCACTTTAATATTTGTATGTGCCCCTCCTCTAGTATACTCCTCCACATGCAGCTCAAACTTAAACAAGTTCCAGCTCAAGATGAAACAAGTCAACTCAGTGTCGACTAAGCAGTGTGCCTGCTGGGAATAGTAACTATCATGTGCTGGAACTTTGTAACTCTTAACCACAGATTATAAGAATGCCACCTAGGGGTCTTCAATCATGGCAAAAGTTTTGTCTCAATGTGTTGCTGCAGTACCAGCATTTTCAAGCTTTTTATACAAGGTGATCATACCCCCCCTTAATCGCCTCTTCTCAAGGGAGAATAAATTCAGTTCAGCTAATCTTTTCTTATAGTTGAGCTCCTCCATGCCCGTTATCAGTTTAGTTGCACTATTTTTTTGTACTTGCAGGACCTTTAACTAGCTAAAACACAAAAAAGTGCATGTTTAGCAGAGATGTACTGGATATATATTTTGTATTTTATTTTGCCCAGACATACACTTCTTCTTTGAACTAACAAAAAAAGACCCTTGCAGTAGGGCTACCCCTGTATTGCAAGGGTTAAGTGGTGCTCCTTTTTGTCTAGGGGTTGGAATAAAGCAGATTTTCAAAGCTGATGCCCGCTCGTGCTGGTTCCGCAGCCTCCTTACCCCTTCACCCCGGCGGTTATAATGGCCCATGATGTCATCACTTCTAATGCAGGTGCCCCCCAAGAGCCGGAAGAGAGGTGAGCACTGACTTCTGGGGGAGCAGGGATCAGGTAAGTAAATCTGCTTTATCCAGCCCCTAGAAATAAAATGAGCACCACTTAACCCTTGCCGTGGTATGCAGCCCTGTGCAAGGGTACTTTTTTCTGGTTTGTCCACAGACTGACTTTGAATGAGCATCTTGGATCTTGAGCCAGGGGACTATGACTTCCAGAAATGTTTGCTCAGCACTTTAGGTTCTGTTGCCTTTCCTTGATGTCTCTTTTTTTTCCTTTCCAGCGAGGCCGCTGCAAACTACCAACCAGATCCTCCAGTAAGTTTGTCCGACATTTATTATCTTCTCTTTAAGCCTTTCAGTAAATATTTCTAAACTTAAAGATGATCTTCACCTGACCTGGGCCGATTTTCATCTGATGATTGTCAATTCCCCACTTCTTGTGTAACCTAACATAGTGAGGCCAGAGCTACAACAGCCTCTGACTTGGAGTCAGGGGCTTGAGCACTGTGGATGGTTTGGACCAATGGCGCATGGATGGAGCAATCTCCACTACCGACTATTGTATTCAGGCAGTTGCAGCACCCGTGCAATCGGCTTTACTTTTTATTATATAAGTGTATAAGAGTGTTGTCATCCGTGTGGCTGTGCTGTTAGGCAGAGCTGTGGAAGTCTCAGGACTAAATGAACAGAAATACAAATTCTTTGACTGGCAAAGCAGCTCTCATACATATAATTTCATCTGTGTATTTAGCTCTATGCCTGGGGTTGAGCTTTACATCGCTTCCATGTCTACAAATGGTTTGGTTCTCTTACATACCCCGAGGGCTGCTGATCCCAACTCTGCTTGCTTTACTCTTCACAAGCTAGAACAATGTTGATCTTGTACTTGGCAGAAAAACTTGTTCTCTTTATAGGCCTCAGACCTTGCATACATTAAAAGCCACGTCAGCCTTCTGCTGTGTCGCACACACAACATGCATTTTGACATTTCAGGTTTCATGTGGTTAGGCATTTATATTGATATGCATTCTGGTTTCCCGTTCCCACGCAAGTCAAGCCTAGGTTGTAAATCTTTCTAAACTCCGGTCAGGGCACTATTTGTAAGGAGTTTGCATGTCATCCCTGTGTTTGTGTGGGTTTCCTCGAGTTCTCATGTTTCCTCCCACACTCCGAAGACATGCTGGAAGGTTAATTGCTTCCTGTCTAAGGGCCCATTCACACCACATCCAGACCAGACCAGATTTTTTCTGGACCCAAAATGCATCCTAATGTATCCCTATGCTGTTTCTGGCCTGTGTTCACACCAGCACAGTCCGTTCCAGACCATAAAAATACTCAATGTCTCATTTTGTCTGGTCTGGAACTGCGGGCAGGTTCACACCATTTTCCAGACTAGATCTGGTCCGGAAAATGGTGTGCACCTGCCCTTAATCAGCCCTGTATGTGGCGGGGACCGCAGATTGTAAGCTCATTTAGGACGGGAACAGATGCGAATGCGCAACTATGTAAATTGTCGGCACTTTATATAAACACCTATAATAAACTGTTCTGCCCCATTAAGAGTACTATGTATTATTTCTTTGAGTGCTGTTCAGAAAGATAGCTGTAAAAACAAAGTTAATTATATGTGTTCTCAATTTCCAGGAGGTATCGAGTCAAGTCTGTCCTCCCTTGTTTTTGCATTCATGTAGGGATGTTTAAGCACCTCCCGTCCATGGCCGTTCCTGAACGGCCGGACGGGACACTTACAGGAGTGGGAGGGCGTCTTAAGATGTCCTGCTCCTAGCCCTCCACCCCCCTCCCCCCCCCCCCCTTGAGCGCCGCGCACAAGCGGGAAACTGTCAGCATGTAAACAGCCAGTGATAACTGTTTACATGCAAGCGATCAGGCGTCTCTAGAGATGCCAGATCACTTGTACTGGCTGCGGGTGTGGGGCTCCCTTTGTACCTCCACCGGTGCTGCCGGTCCCGAGATCCGCTGTGGCCAATGCGGGTCATAACGGCACGGCGACACTGTTACTGAAGATCACTACACGATCTCCCTTTGATCTCCTCTGCTGTCTCTGAATGCAGGAAGTGATGTGCATTACATCACTTCCTGCATTCAGTGTCACTCTGCGGTTACAGATGCTGGGAGAGAAGCTGATGGAGGGGTAATGTAGTGACAGGGTCACTGTCTGTGCAATTTAAAGCCCCATTCACACTTGCTATATGCAACTTCACACACAGCATTTTGAATGGGCTGCCCTACATCAGACAAACGCGGCTAAGAAGCCGCTGCAAGCTTCCTGTATTTTTGATCATACATTTTTTGCGTGTTTGTCTCTCCTCTTGCATGCTGTTTGGGGTGCCTGCTGTTTGGGGTGCCATTACCAGTGAATGGCACCGCAAGTGCAACATGCGATTTTTGTATGTATTGTGAAAGCTCCTAAATCATGGGATTTTGCACTTATTCACACACTACACTAGTGTGACTGGGACCATAGTGCAATTAAAGTGCACAAGTGTGAATGAGCTTTGAGACTTACAGGGGACCCGCATTCTGGAAGCTACGCCAAAAAAATAAAGGCAAATGCTTATTTTCAGTATTGCCTGTGGTCCCCCCCCCCCCCCCCC